CGTGGTTATATAAAACGCTACGAATTAACGTAACATCATTTTTTTAAGTAATAAATGAAAGAGGTAAAACGTCGAACCAGCTGAGCACTTCTGCCAAGCATTTATGATAATCAACATCAAAATTTCATCTCATTAAAATTATTCACACAGTATATGTATCGGACTCAAAATATCAATAGTATAGGTCGAAAATCTGGTTTTCGCGGTAGATTCCACGTGAAAGATTATGTAGCACGCACGTGGCAAGAGCGTGGAGAGCGCAGCAACGCTGCCACTGTCCAGGCCCAGCTGTAAGGCACAAATAAGAATTGTACAATGTATAAAATGTAATATATCATATTACATTTTTTTAATTAGTTATCCTATTATAAACAGTTGGGCTAATGTAGTAGAATGATTTACGTGTGTAAACTGGAAAAGAATGTAATATTTATTTGCATTGCGTTGGTCTTTATTTAAAAGAAGAAACAAGACCATCACATTTTCGTAAATAGGCTGTGATGTGTTAGTACTTCGTCTGGGAAGCTCGTGAGAACTTATTAGATATTGGTCGGCTTATGTTTACGGACAGATTAAGGAGGCTTTGCTTCTGGGGATAGGAAGTCGCCAGAATACGTTTTGATTGCGTGAGAAAGACATCAGCTAAAATATTTTCGTAGCATATGTAAAGAGTACAGTAGATGACTGAGGTATGTAAGTTGTCCAAAAGAACAGAGTATTTCTAAAAGAATTGAAACATTTAAAACAAAAAAAGTTAATTTGGGACTTTATGAGTTAATTTCAAAAATTAACTACAAGAAGTTGAATTTGGCGTTAGACTTGATGTTGCGATAAAGAAGAGTACTACGTGATCTTTAGAAGAATGGAAAAAAAAGAAGAAGAGAAAAAAAAGTTTTATGCATGCTTTAATATTATGGACTGATGATTAAAACTCTATAACATTTAGATTATATAAAGGAAAGACTTGTATAACTTATAAATACCCCTTTTTTAGTTCGCTTATTTACAAAACAATAAAATGTTCACATTTTTATTTATTTACATTCTTCACACTAACACGTTTCGACAACTTTCATACACTGTAATCTACAGGCTTCTTTTTGAATTTGAGTTTTCAATGCACTAAAATTCTTCGTTATAGAAGTTATTTAACGATACAGAGTAAAATACCAGCAGTGTGCTGCGGGTTGCATTTGACACGAATATTTTGTTTTGTTCTTTCTGCAGTGATTTTCCCGAAATTTTAATAGTAATTCTGCTATTCAGGGAGGAGATGAATCCAACATATCAGAGATAATTAAAATTGGTCCAGCTGTTTTTGAGTTATATATGGAATACCTGACCCGACTCAGTTTTATTTATTTAGATGTTATCATTGTAAGTTCAAACATTTATTTAATAAAAGTATTTCACGTGAATGAAATTGTCTTTGAAAGAAATATTCATTATTTCACGTAGAAAATAAAGTTTAATATTTGCATTTGTTCAACACATAAACTCGTCAAAGTAGTAAGTTTTAGAAAGGTAATAGGCTTTTAATTTAATATTTAATAACCATCTATTCACATAGTCCTAAATTATCGATGTTATCCATATGTAATCATTCCGAAATACTTTTCTATGTCCTGAGAATTTGTTAACCAACATTATCTCTCTCTCTGTTCTGTTATCGAGAGATTGTAGTCGAGCAAATTTACAACATGAATATTTCGGTACGTCACAAAAGGCTTCAATTAAATGTGATCGGTCTTTTTAAAAACTGCTGAAAGTTCCATCAAAAAATAAACTTGATTGCAGTGACGACTCATTTGTTTCCAACTAAATGTACCAATGTATTTTTCGATGAACATAATAATACAAACGTTTGTAGATTTTTTTTAATGAGGACCACTCATCTTTCTACCAGAGCCCTGCTATTCGGCGTCACTGAATTTGTGAATCGATGAATGGTGTACTCTTTGTGAAGAATGCAACACAAAATCAGGGGAAAGATTTATTTTTGTGACCACATTTATACTTTTTTCTTTAAACATCTCCCGAGCGCATGTATACCTGAGGATGTCGACTTCCATTGGAGAAGAGTGGCGCGGGTGCACGGCGGATAACATTTTCTTTTATCTCCGAATCTCACTAACCTCTTTTTCTTTTATCTTGCAGACATGCGAATTTACTTAGCGACTAAAAACACTACCCACTTTCTCAATACTTATCGCAAACACATTAAATGATCATTTTCTGTAGGTGCGGCACCTCCGGTCGCAGCAAGGCCGTCTTATCAGTGGTAGGTGTGTTACAAAATAATTAGATGAACTTGTGGATTTTTGAACTGCCAGTAACTTTGAAACAAAACTATTCTTGCCATAAAAAAAACTAGTGGAGCTCCAAGAGCACATACTTTACTTCGCATGTTATTGGTAATGGTTATGTAATATAATTATATCGAACCTAGAGAGTACTGCACCGTCTGCCCTATTAATACATCAGCTTTCACTCAAAACAGACAAGATACAATTCAAAATTACTAATATTTTGAAAAGCGTGTACATACAATGGTTTTTAAAGAAATAATGCTGATAAAAGAGAAGAAGAAAGACTTTACTTTTATATGAAGGGAAAAGGGCAGGTTCGAAAAAAATCGAATTTTTGTCACTATATTATTCAAAATTATTCAAAAACTGATTTTTTCTTTAACGTTTGCACTGAAATAATTTTAAGAACTTATATTGAGGAATAGCTTGCAATAAAACCAGTGGTGCTGATTGATTGTTAGTGATTCCAAGCGCGTTAACTGTTAAGATAAGTCCTGTAAGTGCATGTTTTACCTCGAGAGGTGACGATGATATTCCCCCGCTGATTAGCAAGATCCGGCGCCGACCTACCGATGGCTAGAGGGGTTTACCCCAACTAGATATCTCCCTCCAGCAGGTCTCCGCTCCAGTCGGGACAACTCTTAAGCTCCCGACCTGACTTCCAGCATGTAAGGTAGTGTAGTGGGTGTTAGTGTGTGTAAGTAAGGGATGAGGAAAGGAGAAGGAAGAGGAAGGAAAGATCGCGCGCGGTCCGTGGCCCATTTGTGAGGGTACTGCTCCGGCATTCATCTGGTGTTAATCGGAGGAACCACAGACAATTACCAATCAGAGAAGCCGGTTGTTACAATTCTCCCCCAGACAGTGATTGAATTCGACCTAGCTGACAAGCTAGTGTCGAAAATCTTGCCAACGTCGGGACTGGAACTTAGGACCTGCCGGTCAGAGGCACTACAGTGACATCAGTTGATGCCCTGGGCCACCTCTCCCGGTCTAGTGGTGCTGCAGCATGGCGGCGTACTAGTTTGTTAAATTTTCTTTTGAAAAAGGTCTAAAAGCTTTGAAGAACTGAAGAATCTTTAAGTCCCTCTCGTTTCTGTAGGTCCTATGTTCGTGGTGGCTCTTGTCTCAACTAGGAACCTGAACCGTTGTTCTGGGTGTAAGAAACCAGCTTAATTACGCAGACACACCACACACATTCCTTACACGCTTTTACAGGTCATGGCAAGAGATATTGAGAAATATAGAAGCGATACACTTGAGATATAACTGAAAACATACTATATGCCGTACTCACGATTCGAACATATCCCACTCCCTGACTTACGAGCTCAGGGCCAGCGTTACCATTGTCTATGTAGAGACTCTGACAGGGGAGTCCTGAGGTTCGAGTCCCGACAGTGAAAGAGATTTTCGTCATAAGCTGGAGAGCGCCTGGCGTCTGGAGCACCAGGAGCGATCACGTGTGGCAACGGGGGATTGCCTGATAACGTCAGCGGGTCTCAGCGCGAGACGCGCTCCCATCATAGGTGCAGAATATAGGATGAGTTATTTCATGCGAAAAAAACACACCATCGCCTTCTCCTCAAACAGAACAAATGTATCTTATGTCATTTATCCAAGAGAGGCTTCGTTCCTGCATAGCAGTTTCTCGACGATTTCTCTTCTTCTATAACGTTAAATATAGTTTCTCCTTAATTGTATTTATGAGTACATGCGCTTTAAATAATGTCAAAAAAAGTTTCTCAAAATTCCGCATTTTTAGAAACATTCAAATGCCATTTCCTAAAATACTGCTCCAAATTTTTTCTTTATACATTTTGAATAGATAGTGCTAATTTTGCAAAATAGTGCAATCTTTAAAATGATGTTAAGTTCATTTTGGAGTACTTTTTAAAAAAAGTACAAAGATGTAAAATTTTTGAAAGATCTCACACAATTAGATTTTTAAATTTATGTAGTATAAAAATAACACCACAAAAAACAGTAAAAACTATACGTGACATATGGGGGACAAGATTTTGATATACGCATTTCCAGCAATTCGTAAACAGTATCGCATTTGTGAGTTAAAGTACTTAATATGAAGTTTTTCGATAACTCAAAAAGGTTATGTGAAAAAGTTTCAAATTTTGAATTTACAGTAGCACTTAAATGAGGAAAAAAAACCTGAATTTTTCAAAGAAACTTTCTATTTAGAACAAGGTTTTACTGTTCTTTAATAATCTTAAAATTATATTTCTTCTCTACAATTAGGAAGCAGAAAAATTAAGAAAATGTAAAAAAGAATATACTTTAGGCGGCGATAGACGGCAGCTGGCAAGAGTATGTGGCAAGTCCGAGTAGCTGCCGAGATCAAAAGATATAGAAAACTAATACATCTGTGCTGTCTAAAGTCTGTGCCATTCTGTAGAAACACTAGTTTCTTTTATTAGCAAGAATGCCAATCTGTACACACACACACACACACACACACACACAC